CTTCTTTCTTCTGGATATTGTTGTGGAGTTGAATTATGCACATTTTTGTTTCGTGTCTTACATTTTTAAGAAAACTTGTAATCTTTATGGTTGCTGCCTTTTAAGGAAATTTTTTTTTCTTTTTCCTTTTTTCTGTTTTTCTTTCTTTTTTAACTGAAACTTTTTAAAATTTTTTTTAGTTTGTAATTTTACAGAGGTTACATTTAAGCTTATTTCAAAATATTAGTATGGCTCAACATACTAGATGTTAGTCACATTAAGTTTATTAATAAGTGATTTAAGTAATCTAAATATTCTTCCATCTTGCCTTATTTACATGGTTGATCATTTATTAGGGTAGTTATTTACTATAGAGTTTGCTTATACATAGCAAGAGTCAGCAAACCTTTTCTGTATGGACCCTCATGGTGATTATTTTAGGCTTTGTAGACCATATAGGTCTGCTTTATGTATATATATTTTTATATATATATTTTTTAAGAGTGATTTTTTGCTATAGGGCATGTGCATTTGCTAGAGAGACAGAAAGCGAGAAATCACCCACCCCAGGGAGGATGGCCACACCACAGTCCCTTTTCTTCCTTTCTTCTCTTGGGATTTTGGGCATATATGAACTCATGCCCAGCATGATTTTCAAACTTCCTGGTCCAGGATTCAAACCGTTGTCAACCATGTGGGCGTCTAGTATTTTAACCACTATGCCACCTGCTGGCCTGCTTTTTAACTCTTTTATAATATGAAAATAGACAGGACTGGGCCCAAGGTCCTAGTTTTCCAACTTCTTATATAAAGCCTTATTCTTAAATAAGAGATATTTGTGCTTTAATTTTCTACACAAACCTCTCTCAACCATGAGAGAATTGTATCGTGAGTTTTTGCTATTGCTTTCTTCACTTCTGGGAATCAACTAACTCATTAGATAAGACTGAGAAAAAAAATAAATCCTGAGATTGATTTTTCCTCTCAGTGTTTTGGGCATACATACACATTTGCCTGGCCTATTTTTCAAGCCACATGAAAATGACAAGAGAACACTTACCTCAGTTTACTATCATGCTTTTTTTTTATGGTTAGCCACTTAGACATAACTGATTTAATTGCCTTCTGAAAAAAAAATATTTAAATGACTGCTTCTCTCAGTACATCAATTTTTACTCCTTTGAAAATAAACTGTAGCCCTGACCCAGATAAATTTAGAAAAAAAGAAAAAACTTCAGGAGTACATATATTCATGAAGTGTTCGTTCCTTAAAGGATAAGATTTCTCTTTAACAGAAATCTCCACATGTCACATTGTATGTAGAAACTTTTTTTTTTTTTAATTTATCATTTATTTATTTTTGCCATAGGGTGTGTGTGGCTTGCTGGAGAGAGACAGAGAGAGAGAGAGGGAGAGAGAGAGGAAAAGTGAGAAATCATCCCCTAGTGGGGATGGCCATGCTGCAGTCCTCTCTCCTCTCCATGTTTTGGGCATACATGCACATTTGCCTGGCCTATTTTTCAAGCCACCTGGTCCAAGACTCTAACGGCCACATGGGATCCAGCACTTTACCTGCCATGTGGGATCCAGTGCTTTAACCACCATGCTAGCTGTTGGCCTGATGTGTAGAAACTAATTTTAAGAATCGCATCTGAAATTAAGAAATCATAGGATGGGCTTTTTATGGTAAATGGTAGATAAGCTATTAAGTTACTGCATTTTCCAAAGTATCACCTGCTTACTTTTATTATGTAGTAACAAATATTGATATGTAGGTGTCTAAGCTGTATTACTGTTTATTTAAAATCTTGCTTATGTATTCTTGTTCTGGTTTAGAATTTCAGAAAGAGAGAAAGAAATAACTTGTCTCCAGAATGAGTTAGGTTCTCTGAAGGATGCTGTTGAACACCAAAGGAAGAAAAACAATGTAAGCAAATCTTTGTCCAAATGAAATCTTTCTTTTTATTACTTCAACACTGAATATGGTTCAACATTATCTTTGTTTTGAATCTACTTTTACTTTAGATTTCTTAATCTTCTAAGAAAGAACTGTTGTTGTTTTCTGTGTTTTGCTTTTGGCTTGGGGCATTATTGGAGAGATTTCATTTTATTGGAGAACAGATTTTTTAATAAGTGAAAAGACCAATTATTAACTTACAAATATTATTTTAAAATTAAAGCTATAATTATTATACCTTTAGTGTCTCTTTTTAATTAAAAATGCAGTTATCTTTTTGCTGATCTTTTATTTGGAAAAATAATTCTTTCAGATCACTATTTTAAAATAAAAGATGTTTCCTCTTATTTAGATCAGACTAGTCTTTTTTGCAACTAAAAGTAATCTCAGTGTTCAAAATTAGTATGTTCTATAATTAAGTCTTTTCAAAACCTTCTGGAACCTTCCTTGTTTTAAATATAAACTGAGAAGAGTGTAAATTTGATAATTGTTTTAGAGGTTTTAGAATCTGAATACATTTATATAAAGTGAGAGAGAATCATACTTTAAGAAATATAAATCCTAATAGTTTTACTGAATAGGTAAGAGTGAACTTAGGTTAATTTTTAAAATTCTTTTACTAGAAGGTGACACTTATAAAGAGAATACAAGCATTTTTGTTAGAGAAAAAATATTTGCACACAAAAGTCTGAATGCTAAGACTTGAAGACCAAATGTTATTGAAATAGAAGGGGATATTGATAATAAAGGGATATGTGTTTTATAATATAAATGACATTTTTCAAAGTTGGTGTTAAAGTGTTAACAAGTTGGAATTTCCCTGCACCCTTGAGTTTGTCAAAATTAGGTACATGAATTGCCCGTTGTGTGTCTGTGTTAACATTACTAACAGCATGGCCTAGCCATAGAACTGGAGGTGAACTTGCTGGTACACTGCTAATATCTAACTATGTCCTGTTATTGGAATTCTCAGATAAGGGCAAGGTAGGCTGGTCTAATACAGCAGTAGTGGCAGCTGGAGC